GCGAATGAACTCGCCAACAAGCCTATCCGCGCCTGCGGCCAAGCGGCGACCGTCCTCGCTGGTCCTGATACGAGACTGCCGTTGGGCTAGTTCTTCAAGGCTTGGGCCGATTGGCGGGTCTGAAATGGGTTGTGTAACATAAGCATCAAAGGCTTCTTGCGATGTAACCCTCAAAGCAGTTGCCAACGCCTCAAGAAAGGCGTGACCGAGCCTAACCATACCAACGCCGTCGATCCGCCAGTGTGATGAGCGCAACACAACCTCAGAAGATGCCGGGAGCCAATTGCATGTTGCTGTTGTCGCGGAGCGAGTTTTGGAAAAGAACGTATTGCTATCCTCATCGTCGTAGCATCTGAAAGACTCGGTAACCCAAGAATCAAAATCGAATGTGACGCGGATCTGACCGCTTATTGTGTCCAAGCTCCCGCCTAGCGCTGGATATTGAGCTCGAAGTGCTTTCCAGGCTCGTTTTAAGTAAAGCGTAGGGTCTGTTATTGACGGCGGAAAGTTGAGCTTCAGTGCTAAGGAGATGGTCCAATGTTCCGGCTCAAAGCTATCAGATAAAACTTTGAAGAAACCTTCTAGGTTTCCCATTGGGCGAATATACGCGACGGACATGGTTGGTGGCTATCGAGAAGTTTTGTGTGTGGTGGTGGTATTCTGGGGGATCGTATGAATGTTAGGTATTGGGTGATCCTTGATGTTGGTCTTAGGCTCTAATTTATATGCACCATCTCCATAGAAATTAATGCACTTCTAACGAATAGACTTTAACGTGAAAAGGTGAATTACTGGTCGAAACGCTAATTAAAGCGCAGTGCTATCTGGAAGAGGGCAGCGAACGTGAAAAAAGGTAAGGATAACAAAGAAAGCGGCGCGGCCAAGCAGTCAAGATCAGGCGACGATGAAAATTTCGGTACCCGTAGTCCAGAGTAAGAAAGGCTGCATATCTGCAAGGGATGTTCTGACGCAAAGTGTAACCAACTGAACAACCCCCCCGGTTGAGCCAGCTCAATCCAAGTACATAAAAACCGAAACTGATTAAAGCTATATATTCTTGACCTGAACTGATGATTTGCATCGGAGATAGTGGTTTATCTCCGGAACTGTATAAAATCGCCGAATCGATGGTAGTAGAGACTTATGAAGCTATCCATGCTGTTCATACATCCGAATAGATATCTATATAGGCGCTATATAGTGAAGGAAAGGGGACCTGGATTCCTCAATCGCGTTTGCGAGTAAATATAAAAAGTCTTCTGAAATTAGTACATTAAAGGTGGAAAAGGGACTGTATAACCTCAAACTAATCAGTTCGGTTCAATCAGTTCAAGTTTCCGGCTGACGTGCTGAGGTCGCTGCCCCAAAGCTTTCTCTCAATAACAGAAATATCGCATTATGCATCCAATAACATGGATGTATAAACACTCAATCCATTGCCTTATCATGTAGGCAGCTATAGCTGTGTAACCTTCCAATATCATGCCTTATACATGTCAGCTTACTTACCTACATGCCTAGGAAGCGAGATGAAAAGAAACAGTGGTTTTGGCATTGATTCTTAGGGTCATGTTGGCGTGGCAGAGGGTCAACTTACTGGTAGCACCATATCAGCAATCAATGTTACAACCCAGATTGAGCTTGCAAGGTATACTAACAAAGGAAGAAATTGGACCCGAGTATCGGACAATAAGTCCGCATAGACTCTTGATCACGAATTCTACATATTATTGGAAGGAATAAAAATTAAAGGGGGTAATTAGGGGATGGGCTAAAATCAAACCACCATGCTAAGGGACATAACAAGCATGTATGTGGGTCTGAATAGCCTCAGGAGTTTTGCCTTTTTTCTACATTAAAGGAAAACAGTGTGCCTTGTTCAAATGCCACGCGGCGGCTGGGAGAGGGGTAGCGGCGCATTTCCGAGTAAAACTGACCAATGGTAAGTATTTGTTACACCGAAGTCAGTTAACCAAGCAGCAGGCTGTCTTGATACGCGGGAAACATGCATACCTATATGAGGTGGCGCCAGACAATACGTCATTGTAGCGGTAGCCTGCCTGCATCGATGCCCGGGACGTATGAGGAATGGAAGCAGGCTCTGAGATTAGGAACTTTATCAGGTAGACGTTCAATCTCACTTTGAACTCTTCGTCTTGCCCTTTTCTTGTCTAGTTACTGCCCCCCCTCGTACTCATAGCTGGATCAAATTTATTTCCTGTTATTCCCTCGATCTACTCAAGATGGCCGTCCCAGCGGTAGCGACACCACTGCAGTCCAAGGACCACAAAACGTTGATGGATGTGATCGACAAGCTACGATCCAAGGGAATCAACCGATACGTCAACCTCCCACAAATCGTGGTCTGCGGTGACCAGTCGTCAGGCAAGAGTTCGGTTCTGCAAGCCATCTCGGGCATGTCATTTCCTACGAAAGACAACCTCTGCACACGATTTGCCACCGAGTTGATCTTGCGGCATACCGACGAGCACACAGAGGAGACGTGCCATGTTTCTATTTCTCCTGGAGACGACCGCACGGATCAAGAAAAGCTACGCTTAGAAGAGTTTCAACGATCCGAAATCCCCGACCACTCTAACATCGGGCCGTTAGTCGATGAAGCTAAGGAGGTCATGGGTGTCGGCCTCGATCGGGGTAGAACATTCTGTAAAGACGTTCTTCGCATCGAGTTGACAGGTCCGACGTAGCCTCATCTAACAATCGCTGACCTTCCAGGATTGTTCCGGGCTGGAAATAAGGAGCAATCAGCTGAAGATGCAGCAATTGTCAAGGAATTGGTGGTCTCATACATGAAGAATCCCCGAAGCGTCATTCTGGCTGTCGTTTCAGCCCAGAGCAACTTCGCCTTGCAAGAAGTAACTCAGCTAGCTCGGGAGATAGATGTCCCCGGTGTGAGGACATTGGGTCTTATCACGAAGCCCGATACACTCGACGTCGGTTCTCAGAGCGAGACCGATTACTTCAACTTGGTGCAGAATAGGGATGTCAAGTTCCGTCTCGGCTGGCATGTCATGCGTAACCGCGATTTCAAGACTCGAGATGCCACGAACGAGGAGCGAGACAGGGCGGAGTTGAAATTCTTCGAGCAAGGTGTCTGGGCCGGGTTATCGCGGTCGCAAAAGGGCGCTGGGACCTTGTGTACGCGACTTAGTGAGGTGCTTAAGGACCAAATCCTCGATCAACTACCGGACGTTCTCGACGAGATCCAGAGACAACTAGATGACTGCTCCGGTAAGCTCGAAAAGCTCGGCACTGCTCGTGGTACGCTTATTGAGCAGCGCAAGTATCTGTTAAATGTCAGCCATCAATTCTCGAACCTCATCACAGAAGCTAAGAATGGTCTTTATCAACACAAGTTCTTTGGAAATGCCCGTGAGGAGGAAGGATACCGCCGGCGACTCCGTGCAGTGGTCCAAAATACCTTGACTGACTTCTCTGACGAGATGCGCATTAACGGACAAGCCCGGGAGATTGTCGAGATAGCCTCTAAAGGCAACCCAAAACAGATCTCACGTGAAGCTTACCAGCAGGAAGTAAAAAGCTTGATAAGGAAAACTCGGGGATGCGAACTCTCTGGAATGTACAACCCATTGATAGTTGGAGAGCTGTTTCACGAGCAATGCACACCTTGGAGAGGCTGGCTGGAAGATTTCTCAGATAGAATTTTTGAGGCCGTCGATTTCACTGTCAATGCTATCTTGGCCTCCATCGTAGATGAAAATACCAAGGCAAATCTTTGGGGTGAGTTGATTAATGACTCCCTTGATCAGCTTAATGGTGAGCTCCAGGACAAGGTCAATGAAGTCTTGCGACCCCACGAAGAGGGTCATCCGATCACATACAACCACTACCTCACCGAGAATGTCCAGAAGATTCGGCATGCTCGCCAACGAGAAGGTATCACCCGTGGTCTACAGGATTCCGGAGCTGATCTTACCAAGCTTACGGGTGACTTAAACCGATACTTGGAAGCTATCGTGTGGCATACTGAATCTGATATGGAAACACTGTCTAGTGTAGAGGCGATCGACTGGATGGAAGCATATTACAAGGTAAGCAGGCCCCTTTGATCGGCAGCGAGCGAAAGAACTCATCTGTCCCTAAACTCATTGCATCTAGGTGGCTCTGAAACAAGTCGTAGACGACTTCAGCAAACTGGTAATCGAGGCATGCCTTATCTCGAAGCTTCCCACGCTGTTCACACCAGAGGTAGTCTTCGAGCTTAGCGACGACACCGTAAGCAGCATTGCGGCGGAAAGTTGGGAGATGGCAGACGAGCGAAAGTTCCTCACGGATAAGATGGAGATTCTGAACAGCGGGATGATAGGACTCCAGCGTCTGAGCAAGCAACACCAACGTGGCAGTGGTAAGTTGACGCGCACTCTACCGTCCTGGTTATTTGAGCTAAGACATTTGAAGGAACGAGTAGGCCAGCTGACATTTTGAAGTCTCCTCCCAAGCCTGAGGAATCTTGGGATCCTGAAGCACCAGAGGAAGGGATGGGAGAATTTTCAGAGGAATCCCTCGGAGAAGAAGAGTACTTGGATCATGGAGACGAAGTGGAACAGGAAATGGTACCCCCCTCAGAGGTCGCGTATGAGCAAATCGCACCTAAGCCGGAGCCTAATTTGCCAAGTCATGCTGACAACTACCCATTCGCCGGCGTTACGAGGGACATCCACCCAAGTCGAAAAATCCAAGGCGATAACCCAGGTATTGACGATATAAGGAGGATGCCCAAGTTTACGCGCAGAAGGATACAGTAAATACTTACATGTAAATCACCTGAAAGAATTAGATACATAATTACCTCATAAATTTATCCTACATGTATCTGGCATTTGAATAGCACGTGATGAAATAATATGATCGACTGCGCAACACACATCGTTGGTATGCATGTACCTACCCACCCATGAATGAATTATCACAAACCACCAAAAAGTACACGATGACTAGCATCTTCATCAGCAAAAGAGTGGCGGTACTGGGAATCGAACCCAGATCTACACGGAACAGTTGCGAAAGATCAGCTGCACAAGTGAATGCACACATTTCCACAACGTGTTGTACTGGCCATTATACTATACCACCCGGGTGTTATGCTATAACGTGTTGCCGATGAAAATTTTCGCCGTTGCGTTTTACTATATTCTTTCGTTTTATTGGCTTGAAAGAAGATGAAAAAACCGGTTATTGGTTCGTGTGGGTGCTTGTGTGTGTGTGTGGAGATCAGACTTGGAGTGAAGATTTCTTCACGCTATTGGCTAGCTTTGCTGCTTGGACGCACACAGCCGGCGTTGGTCCGGTGGTGGTGGTGGTGGGATGTAGAGGTACTTTGTATTCAGCTGGAGTACCACCGAGAAGTGCAGGTAGGCTTGGATGAAATGAATTTACAGATCTAATAATACTGTGTTTTGATCATATTTAAAGATCATATTTAGAGGCTATTCCTCATGTTTCAGAAACAGAGAAAGTGGTCAGGAGATCTAATATTCAGATTTTGCTTCAAATTTAGTGTCATCTCTGATGAGTGAGTACTTTGGTACCTTTGAAGATACCAACTCTAGGAAGGCTACACGTAGCATCGGTTCCATACCCGTAGGCAGTAAAATCAAAGGCAGCAAGTTTCATCAATACTTGTTCCTAGCTAGAATTATGGAATGTTTCATCTACATTTACATCTAATATGTGACACCCGGCTTCCAAATAGGTACCTCCTCAAAATCTTGTACACTCCACCGGAGTTTACCCTTCTCATCAAGCCAAGCACCCTGATCGGTAGCCTTCAATCCGCGCTCATCATTCTCCGCGACCTCTTTGCTACTCACACCCATCGGATCCTTAGCAATCCATATCAAGGGTGTCGGGCTTGTAAGTGCAGGGTTCAGATATGCCTTCTTTAGTTGCTCTTCTGTGTACTCCGGGATATCTTCCTCATTGTCAAACGACTCCCCATCTTGAAGCCACAATCGCATGGCCTTATACGAAGCGAAAACTTGGGGCTCGAAGAAGCGGGCAATTGGATCGAGCACGCGCTCTGCTACGGTATGTGGGACTCGTGCTTGTCGGCCTAGACGTTGGATATGGGATGCCGTCTGTGCGCGTCCTTCTTCTGCTGAAGATAGAAGAGGCGCTGATTCATCATCTTCGGCTGATGTTGCTAGATCTGTTGGGAGAAACTTCTCTAGTGGTGAGAGGTATCTATCCATCAGCGCGTTATAAACGACGGTCGTAAGGAACAAAATCCCCATTATGATAGATGGACCCGTTGCTTTTCTCAACCCAAAAAGTCCCAGGAGAGCTAGTTCGGCGATGTATACACCTGTGAGAAGGTGCTGGAGCGCGAGTGTGTAAGCCTGGCCCTTAGTGTCTATCTTAGGCTTGATTACGAAGAGGAGATTGTATCGGTATGAGAAGTAGTAGAGAGACAAGCCGATAGCAGCGAAGCCGAGGACCAGAGGTGCGATACAGGAGTAGGCAATTGCTATAAACAGTGAGCTACTTAGACTGAGACGAAGACGCGAAAAACGACTAACCAATGATGGCAAAGTTGGCGAACTATACATTAAATACCTGTTAGCAATGATTCAAAAGTTGATAGGGGTATCACTTCTCAGACCTTTGGAAATAACTTGCCCCACGCAATTCCCTTCATGCTCGTATAACTATTGAACTTCTGTCGCGGCGTGTTATCAAAGAAATAATCATAGAAGAGATAACTTAAAAGATCCGAGTAGTTGAGCAGATTGTCGGCGGCTGAGGTGGTGCCCTGTATGATGAAGTATGTCAAATAGAAATTTGAAGCTTTTGGAAGCTGTCTCGCCAACAGTTCAGGGATCGATGTGGGATCCTTGGCTCTCTCCATAAGCTCTTTAGCCACAGCAGCAGTTCCCGAGAAGACTGCAGTGACGAGGAACACTTGTGTCACCTGGAAGACGTAGAACCATTTTTGGACCTTGAGCTCGGCAGCAGTATTGGTCGGGCTACCCAAAGACTTGAAGATGTCTGCTCTTGTCAGAATAGTACGTGGATTTGAATCGTGGCGGTCAGGAACTTACATCGGAAGATATTAGGTGCCATCTTGCTGAGCCAGCTTGTGGCAAGTGGTGGTATCAATCCTGATAAAAGACCGATAGCTGGCTCTGGCAAGTTTTTAAGGAAACTGAGCCATTCGAAATTATCGGCAAGGTAGCTAATGTTAGATATGAGACCGATGATACCGCTCGGGATGGACCAGAATACTATCGTAGCAATTACAATAGCCAGTGCGGTGCCCTCCTCGGAGATACGTCGTGCAGGTGGGATAGTTAGATTTTTCCATATGACTTCATGTGGCGCGACATTCGTATATCTCGGACTAAGAGCTAATAAGTTGCTGGATGCGACTTGCTGACAAGCCTGCTGGGCGTCGGCACATGTCTTGAATTCAACAAAGACTGCTGCAGCCCCGTTGGTCTCACCAATCTCATAGGATCGTCTTGCTTCCTCGATCTTGGCTTCCTCTTCCTTGATCCTCTCACGGAGCCATTCGATACTGTCCACTTTCTCATTCACTTGGGAGACCTTTGGCCTGTGTCGTGGCCTAATGGACTTCTTTACCGAATCGGGAAGAGCATCATAGCTGGGGTTGCCATTTTGGGAGCCAGTCTTCTTGGCGTACTTTCTTGCTTGCTTATTCGCCTTTTGAATCAATGATATCTCTGCAGCTTCAAGCTCTTCAATCTTGGATTTTCGGCTTGAAACTAGACTTTCCAGAGCGTCAGCTTTGGCGGCTGGCCAGATGCGTACAGCGCCCTCCCCAAAGAAACGATGGATATTCTCATCCTCAAGGGCCTCTCTGGGCGCGGATAGGAAAAGAACGGTACGCGAAGATAGGCGATTCGCGACTGGTCTGGATAAGGTCCAGGCTTGACGTAACCCGACGAGCCAGAACCGTTCGCGCGCGACTGTGAACATGATGAAGCTGAAGAATACCCAGGCTATTATCGCATGAGCGTAGAAGTGACCCTTTTTCCTAACATTCCCAATACCGATCTTGTCTAGCTCGGTAGAGGAACCACCTCCAGTTGCGTTTACTGGCATGAGAATTGGCCATGTGAGACAGCAACCGATGAAGCAGATGAAGATCGCTGTTCGCAGGAAACGGAGATAGAGGTATGCATCAAGTGACTGATGATACAAGATAAACTTATCAGGAACCTTGCGCATGGTATGAACCCAGTTGAAGTACGAGCGACTCGCAGAAGGAGTTCGATCCCTAGAGAAGTTAGCATACAGCGAATGGACTGATAGAGCGTACTGCGAACTTCTCAGAAATAGTCCCGATAAATGTTCGTGGTGCATATATATTAGGATACCAACGTCGCACGACAATGAAGATTGCGATGAAGAGAAGCCCCGTGACCTTCTCTGGTCAGCCAGTTTCGCGGAACGGGATGGTATGCAGCTTATACTCACCCATGTTGGTACAAAAGCCGAAACAACGGCAGCGAGTGATGCCGATCCTTTGGGCTTTAGGAAAGACATTAGCTTATGTAGGTAGTGGATGTATGGGCGAGAATAGACTTGACCAACCTTGGCCTCCATAGCATTCATACTGCCGTTGGCTGAGTTAGAAGCAGCCGCGACATGATCAAATGTCATCTTGGGAATATGATCCTTCAACTCCGAACCCCCTTTACTGAGAGCGATGTAGTTAAGTAATTCAAATCTACAGACGAGCGAAGAAGCATAGTGAGGTCTTCAACGAATTTGTTGAAAAGATGAATCAGTATGGTGGGTTTATTGTTGAAACGTACAAGTCGAATGGGCTGCATCGTCAATGACGTAGTTAGACGCGTCCCTAATGCCAAGGAATCCTGATAAAATGTGGCTGTGCTTTTGATGTAGACTTACGCGATATGCAATTAACAGCCCTTCGTTATTGTGATTTATTGGTTCTTTTAACGTCATAACCCATATCTCAACATATCCGGGGTGCTATTTCATAGATGCGCACATCTTTGAACCCGCGGCAGCGCTCGAGGAATACGGTATAGGAATCGGAATAAATCATAATACTCTTGCTGCCCTTAAGCTTATCGGCCTATCCACAACTAAGCGTCTTGAACGTGCTGGGTTTGTACCTATGGAAGGAGTACGATTCATGCTAGCCCAAGGTGAAGATTGCCCTGATCTTTGAGCCTAAACATGAATTATTAAACGATCTTTCTAACCTTGAAAGTCCCGTCCTTGTGACCTAAATTTGATGTATTGTAGTATTTGATTTAAATATTTAGGATATGGATGTAGTGCGACAACATCCATTATCGACTCATTGCGGCCTGTGAGCGCAAATTCGCCCTGTAGCTGACCACTAAATTACTCGTAGTTCTAATGAGGTAAAAGCGCTGAAGAGCAAAGAATTAGTGGCCATACTGCACTATAATCGCTCGCCGAGATGACCCCACCCCCACCTTCACTATCACTCCTATTCATAAGACTTCACTCTCTTCTCACACCACATCTTCTTTTAACCTTCATTTATATCCCATGAGAAAGCGATGCAATACATTTCATAGCAGAGATGTTATTCCATTCAAATGATATATTATAAGTCGTGTTAATTGATTTGTTTAAATCCTTGCCGGGCCCTTGCTGAAGTAGGTACTTTAATTAGACGGAAATTAGTTTGCATTCTGAAACGCCACTTTTTCGCCACAGCAAGAAAAAAGATCGTGGACCGTTCAAACACATTTCATGTCTTCAAGCCATCACCATGAGCTCATCTAGGGTTGATAATAACCGTAACCGTCTGCACGATGAGCTCAATAGCCACAACAATCCGCATGCTGATCTCACGCAGTCCATCACTCGTCATGGAGATGAAACCAGCCACCGCCATCCGATTCCCAAGGACAACACACCTCCGTCTCTATCACTCATGCAAAATTCGGCCGCTAGTTAACTAGAACATCCGCTTCGCTGGACCCCGGCTATGACGGCCTATTTTATGAAGTTGGCATATGAATGTAATCAGGAAAACCTATTCAACGTCCATAAATCTGATTTGAAGCCAATATGGGAGCGTCTGTCGAGAGAAGTGTCGGAGG